TTTTTAACTTTTTATTCTGAATTGGTAAAGGTCTACGGAGCAAATTCATTTTCCATTCAACAATTCACACACATTTTGTTTCACGTCATTGATTGCAATCCCGAACAACTGCACCTTTTTAGTAAGGTACCCAGAATGTGTTCCCAGCGTACCCTCTGAATATTCTGATGAAAGAAATAACACTGAATCAGGTTTCCTCATTTAGCAACTGTCTCATTATTTTATGACAATAGTGAAAAATCTACTATATGATTGTTTTATACATTAAAGACAATGTATGGCAGTAACAAATGCAAGAATACTGGCTATTCTGATGGTGACGTTCCTGTGTCAAGGTGACTGGACCATGGTTCTCCATAATTTGGCAGCTACCTAATGATGTAATCAGACAGTTATATAATGATACAGTGATCCTCCATTTCTGTGTAACGCCAATTTTCATACAACAGACGTGGTCTTGGGACCCTAACCATGTTGCTAAGTGAGGAGTGGGTGTATATTTATTTACTTACTCATCATACACTCAAGAGTCACCTGAGTTACTACCTTAAGTCCTAGCACAATGTCTAGCACATAACAGATATTTGATAAATGTTAACCAAATGGCTGAGTAAATGAATTTCTAATTATAAGCACTTTTATCAGGTATTATATGTTTACATGTAGTATCTGTATGTTTTAAGGAGCTCTGATAGCGTAGTAGTTATGAATCTGGCTGCGAACCTCAAGGTCAGCAGTTTGAAACTACCAGCTGTTCCGTGGGAGAAAGAGGCTTTCTGCTCCTGTAAAGATTTATAGCCTCGGAAACCCTGTTCAGGGTCGCTATGAGTCGGAACCGACTCTATGGCACACCACCACCATCTGTATGTTTTAGGTTTTCCAACATAAGGAAGATGGCAGCTATCTGGGAAGGCTGGGAAATTCGGTAACTAGAGGGCATATGGAGATGATGAACTGACTGGTTGGTGGGCTTCTAATGGTGCACAACAGAAAACCAAAAAGTCATACCCACTGCCACTGAGCTGATTCCAAATCACAGTGACCCTGTATAGGCTTTCCCAAGACTATAAATCTTCACGGGAGCAGAAGACCTCATGTTTCTCCTGTGGAAACACTGGTGGGTTAGAACTCTGGACCTTACAGTTAGCCGTCAGAGGAGTTGGCAAATTATGTCCTGAAGGCCAAACACAGGTCCAGTAAATAAATTCAATTGGAATACAGCCCTGCCCACGCATTTATTTACATGTTGCACCTGACTGTTCTGTGAGTGATTGGAATATTTACTATCTATCCCTTGAAAGAAACGGTGTTGGGATGAGGAAGCGAGGCTCTCAGTATAAAAGCGAATGCACATTTCTATAGCTTTTAAATGGCCTAGTCCTCTAAGAAGTAAAAACTGCTTTAACATTGCAATAACATGATGCATTTCAATTTATTATGCTACCTGACATTGAAATCAAATTCAAGGTGGGCCTTTGGGGCAACAGTGACACAAATCATAGAAAGCGTGTAGACCACACAATAAAAACCAAACAATGTACAAATTTAATAGAAATAACATACCACAGTCGGTCGAGAAGTGCAGGATTCCAATTGCTGTGGTTTGGCAGGTGGTCGCCCATCATATTGAGGAAGCAGAGTTGGATACAACACTGTAGGTATCTCTATGTTTAGTCCAGGGAGTCCATGAAACATGGATTTCTAAATATGAAGATTAAGGAAATACACACAAAACATAAAGCATAAAAACAGAACCATTTACTATGTTCTGGATCAAGCCAATTAATGTTTACAAGCTTATTACTGAAATCAAGAGAGCTTACTCTTATTTGGTCTTTAGTAAGATTTGGCCAGATAACATTCAGTGAGATTTTAGCTTATTTATTTACTCACTATTTTTATTTGTTAATTTTTTAAAAATCACCCAATTATTTGTATTCAATTATTTTACCTTTTTTTTTTAACCAATCATGATTTTAATTTATATTACCTAGTGTGGCACTAAGGAGCTCTGTTAGCGTAGTGGTTACGAATCGGGCTGCGAACCTTAAGGTCAGCAGTTCGAAACTACCAGCCGCTCCGTGGGAGAAAGATGAGGCTTTCTGCTCCCATAAGGATTTACAGCCTCGGAAACCCTGTACAGGGTCGCTATGGGTCGGAACTGACTCGACGGCACTTAACAACAACAACAACAAGTGTGGCGCTGGAGGATAAGCATTGGACTGTTAACCAAGTTTGGCAGTTCAAACCCACCAGTTGCTCCTTGGAAACCCTATACAGGGTCGCTATGAGTCAGGACTGACTTAACAGCACTTAACAACAGTGTGGCGCTGTAGGATAAGCACTGGACTGCTAACCACAAGGTTGGCTATTCAAACCCACCAGCCGCTCCTCGGAAACACTATATAAAGGTCACTATGAGTAGCACCAATTCGAAGGCACTTACCAACACCTCCATATCTAGCTTGTTGTTGTTAAGTACCATTGAGTTGGTTCTGACTAATAGCGACTCTGTATAAGGTTTCTGAGGAGCAGCTGGTGAGCTTGAACCACTGACCTTGTGTTTCAAACTGACCTTCCAGTCCAGTGCATTAACCCACAGCGCCATACCAGGACTCCCTACATCTAGCTACCTACCTATTTATTTCAAGTATAGGAGAAGGCACAAAATTAAAATGCTGGTTTTTATTTAAGGTAAGGTTAGATTAGCCTATGTATATCTTAGCTGAGGTCAGCATGAAGCATCCTACTCCTTCCTGGCTCAACTGAAGACAGCTGGGTCCCAGAGGAGCCGACTGACTTCCCCACCGTCTGCCAGGCGCAGAGGCTAAAGCCTTGTTGCAAGAACCTCCTACTATACAGAGGAGAAAGCCAAGAAGTCTTTCTTTTCAGTACAAACAGATACAAGCATTTTCAAGATCATTTAAATTTAAATTACAACTCAAAACCTATATCCTCTTTCTGAGTTAAATTCACAGATAAAATTTTGATACATTTGCTAAATTGAGTTATACTGTGTTCTGTTCTTAACCTTGTTGTTGTTAAGTGCCAGCTAGTTGGTTCAGATCCAAAGCGACCCTACATAAGATTTCTGAGGAGCAGCTGGTGAGCTTGAACTGCCAATCTTGCAGTTCAAGCCGACTTTGCAATCTAGTGCATTAACCCACAGCGCCACATCAGGACTCCATTGTTAACATTAATGTTGTTGTTGTTAAGTGCTATTGAGTCGGTTCTGACCCACAGCGACCTTGAATAGGGTTTCCAAGGAGTGACTGGTGAGCTTGAACTGCCGACCTTGCAATTCAAACGACTCTGCAGTCCAGCGCATGAACCCACAGCGCCACATCAGGACTCCTTAAGTATACTTAAATATGAACATTTCCTTTTTCTCTCTTAAAATACAACCCTTTAACCTAGCCTGAGGGTGAAGCCATGAAGCTATGCCTGAGCTTTAAACAGAAAAGCTTACTAACCATAATGAAGACTTGGGGTCTGAATGAGCAATGCCTTACCTTCAGCACAGCTAGAAGAGCTCCAAGGTCTTCCGTCTGTGTCAGTTTCATCTTCCCACCATTTAGAAGTGACTGTATACCTTTTAATGCATTTTGTGACAACTAAGGGGAAAAAGGAGACCAATTTAGAAGGCAGAATAAAATCTGATTGTCCAGGGATCATCTTTTAGAATGAAGAAGAAAGTCTTTAAATGACGAAAAACTTCAGATGCCTTAAAAAAAAAAAAAAAAAAGCAGAGCTAAAGGGCCAGAGAACAGACCTGGTATACAACATGTAGTCCCGAAATTACGACAGGTTCCATTCTAGCACCTATGTCACAAGTGGGTTCTGATGTAAGTCAGATACCCCAATAAAAACAATCCGTATTCAAGAAGTGACTGG